TCGGCTTCGTCCTTGTCAGTCTGCACAAGTTCAGCGACACGTTGAAGTACATGGTCACACTGCTTCTGCTCAGACCTTGGATAGGTAGTGATAGGTACGATCAAAAGCTGTCTTAAAACAATATCCCAAACAAATCAATAACAAAAATATACAAACATATACAAACATATTCCTTCAACATGACCCGAACTTCGACCAGTTCAACTCATGCAAGCAACGGAGCACGGGCTGTCGTCTCGCCCTCGTCCTCGCTGCTGTCCCCGTCTTCAAAGATTGGAACTGATTGCTGCATGGTTGAGAACCAGTTCACCTGGCAGCTCTCCTCATAGTACTGCTTCAAGGATTTTTTCTCAACATGTGCAGCCCATGAAGCCAGATCCAAGGCTGAATCATATGCTCTCTGGCAACACTCACGAAACCTTGGTTGATCTTGGTTGCATGTTGTTTCATGTATGTTCACCGTTCGCCCGAGAAAAAGCAGAAAACACCATGAAACACCTGAAAAAACATACAAAAGGGGTAAAACATGTAAACATCAAACGCAACAATGAAAAAAATTACAAACACACACTGCGCAACTTCTCGTCGCTCAAAGGTGCCTCCTTCGCCTTCTTTTTTTGCTTAGGTTCTTGGACCTTTTTCCTCACTTCTCTGAGTGTTTGGAACGCTGAAAGTCGAAGGAAGGATTCCACATCAAGCTCTGCGTTTGTCTGCGCTGTTCTCAGGCAACCAAACAAGCGCTCGATGGTCAACTCTGAGATGCGAAGTTTTCCATTGTGCCACGGGGTGAACTCTTCCTCAGCCACACCAGAGTTGAAATCTCAACAAAACTTGCTGGCCGCCCGTATCGTCATTATCTTTTAAAACCTTGTCTTTATGACCTCATCCTATTTCATCAGCTTACCAGAAACACGTAGAAATGCTAGCAGTCCTGTCAAAACTGTCCAGACATGATCATGTGTCCACATGTTGGTAGACCCAAAGCTGCTCCATCGTAGCAACAAACATCAACAAACTACTTCTACTATAAAATGACAGAACCTACATCTTAATTGCCCATACTTCTCTTCAACACTACAATGAGCAATGATATAGCTTTGGGGGGGGTCGGGGCACAGCACTTTATAGAGGGGCATTACGGCATTACGAAGCAATACAGACATAGTTAAACATATTGGATGTAGATGGATGTAGTAGAATACAATATGGCATAATAGATCATAATAGGTATGTGATGGTATGTGTGATGTTTTCTTTGTTACATCTTGTTGCATTCTGCGTCGCACTAAATTAAAATAAGACTAATCTAAATTAAGCTAAATTAATCTAAATTAATCTAAATTATATCACCTCCAGGGGTTGGAGGCCTGATTTTATAGAAGACACGTTTTGAACCTGATAGAACTTGTATGAGCCTGTTGTCTCCTGTGTTGGCAAATGCTCCCTGCAATTCCATACCATTCCCATCCATTCCCTACCTGATTCCTGCAAAAGACGATCTAAGATGATCAAAGACATTATAGACATTGACATACATTAACAAACACAAAGCCTGGTGAATGAACAAATTCCACTGTCCCGTCATGCTTCTGGCCGCATCAGGAGCAGGAGTACCGTCGACAGGCTCACGTTTTGGAGGTTCATGACTGGCGTATGTGACATGGAGCAGGAGCCCACGCGTTCAGCTGACTGCGACTCGCGTCTTGCTGAAAGGATCATGAACAAATCCCAGGCAATGAAGCCTGTCAGGGCGTTCTCTGCCCTTTCTCGAGTTGTCATCCCTGTATGTAAGGCTGGCGAGTACGCCAGCGCAGTCGTCACAGAGAATAGGAGCGCTCCACGGCTATGCCATGGAATAGTCCTCAACTCTTTGTTGGTGTCTTCAACTGACGTGACGAAATACTCTGGACAGACCAGGAGAGCGTGTAGTAAATCACTTTGGGCATCTTTTTTCATAAATGCAGCTTGTGGTAGGCCGTTGAGGAGGGCTCCACTAAGATCCACCCAGAAATCTCCAAGCATGATCGTTCTGCTTGGTCCCATGAGCTGATTCCCGGTGTTCTTCGCGGCGTGGCCTTGTGAAGCTTTATTGGACTTTATTGGTAACACAGAGCATCGCAAAGCGATGCACGGAGAAAAACATTATGTAAAAAAAATCACAATAAAACACATAGGAACTAGCATGAACTAGCACAGAATAGCACTTTGCTGGCTCAGGCAAGGCGCACACGCCGGGCAGGGGTACGTAGCACTCGGAACGAAACATGGCCAGCTTGGCAGGACATCTGGGAAGAGGATGCTCTGGCAGATCATGGAATCTCAGTTGGTTGAAAAAGAGCGGGGCCTTCTCCCGAGCCAGCTTCAGGTCGTCCGCTGTCGGCACACCAAACAACAGCCGCCTTAGCGGCTGGTGTGCTGTTGCAGCATCGAAGGCCAGGCCGATCAGGACATCACTGCCCTCAAACATGACTCTGTCCATGATGGTCAAGACCACGCCAGCATCCAGCTCTGCGCAATGGACGGGCAGTTGAAGCGGGCACAAAGGCAAGGAAACGGGTGCTGATGGATCCCATGCAACAACAGTAAACCTCAGCTTATAAGAAAACTTGAGAGGAGGGAGACACGAAAGGATTCCCTCGGAAAAGCAAATATGATAAACTATAAAGTCCTTAACCAAAGAAAAACATTTTTACTTTTAAGGCTAAAGTTTTTGAATGTTTTTGAGTCACCTCCCAGTCCATTGGGCGAACCTCAACACGATCCAAGTAACATGTCCGTAGCTTTCGTAGTATTGACCACATCGATATCCTGGCTCAATTCTAAGGCTGCACTGCCGGGAGTCGAAGCTGACCACGGCGATCCAACCAAAGTCACATTTCCTGCCTCATCAACATGTTGGATCAAAGACTGCAGCAAATATGTGACGTCCATTGCTGCCACCAGTCTGCCTGTCCATCAAAAACCAATTGATAAAAAAAACAATCAAAAAACAATACAAAACATACAGATACTGTACATACAGTAACACACATAAATCATATTAACATATATTAAATCATCATAAATCATAAAGATGAATGCGTGCCAGTTGCGACCAGAAGTGTCAGATATCACTGACAGTTGCTGATCGATCATAAGGAAATTGTGCCCCAAGGCCCCTGGTCTGTCAACGGCGTTGAATGGTATTGGAAGCGATGCTTTTTGAAGAGCCGCGGAATAGTTGTTGTTCTTGTGTGCGCTGAAGGGTCTTGTGTGCGCACCAAAGATCTTCAAGAGATGGCGGTTTCCTCGACTGGCCAGGCACAGCAATCGTCCAGCCTCGCACGCAAGCTCTCTGGCCTCTGGCGAATACATTGGTGAACTCTTGGCGATTCTTCCTGTTGTAAGTCCTGCACCTTGATGGCCTGCATCTTGGCGGTCTGCCACGCGGAGACAGGTCATGATGAGACCTTGAATCATGGGATTTGAATCAAGCCTCCCACTCATGCAGGCCTGTGCAAGCTGCACCCTGATCTTGTCAAGCTCGTTACTGTCATTCCTGGCAAGGAAATTCTCGAAAGTGGCTTGAACATTCAGCAGGATGGGCCTTTGCTGGCCAGCTGTGGTGAGGTTGAGCTTGAGGCAAGGTGTCACCACAGAGCTCATGTAGCACGAAAGAACATCGTTACGTTGGTCGGCTCTGATGGACAAAAAGCTCGCACGAACCCACTGCTGCAGTTCGTGGTTCTTGAACGCAATGACCTTCTGAACCATGTTTGAATGCCTCTGGCCGATGACAGTCTCATTGATGGCACCAATGCACTGCTGTTGGCGTTCTTCGCTTTCGAATATCCTCGAGAAAAGGAGATCAGCTGCAAACTTTTTCAACCCGCATTTCACCATGTTCTTGCGCAAGTTGTAAAGTGACAAGCAGCTTGTACACACAAAACCTTTGCCCACCACTTCATGGCAGGTGCCACTACAGTCTTGGTGGCGCAGGGTGTGGTTGCCTGCGCTATCAACAGAGTAGCTGTGCTTCTCCCATTCTGAGGCTACTGCTTTCCACGCAACCCAAAGCTTGAATTGTTGCAAATAGGGGTGCAAGGCATTCTTCTCGTCGCTCAAGCACATGCCCTGACATGGTTTGAGTTGATTTTGATGAAGCGCTGCCATCTCCTGGCTCTTCCTTGAAGCAATTAACCTTCTGTGCATTTGGCCGCCACAGTGCTGAGTGGCAAAGTAGACTATGTCTGATTTCTTGTATGAATGCAGGTCGAAGACCTTGCCATCCCTCTGAGCCCTCGATGTGCATAGGGTGCATCTCGCAGGAACCTTTGCCTTCATGTGAGGTTGGCGTGGAATCACCTGGCAATATATGCAGAATCAAGCAGATGTGCACCTATAAAATCCCTTGTTCCAACCTCCAAACCTACCATGATATCATAGAAGCACTGCACCAATCAAAAGAAAATCTGCTAGCCCATGGGCAAGACAAGAGTGGTGGTCGAATAGACCAAGAAAGGTCATAGAAGATCAAACGTCAGAAAAGAAACTAAATACATGATTGTATAACAAATAAAGTTTGATAAAGCATTTTAAAATATTTTAAACATGAGACCTGCACTGTAGCCTCTATAAAATGACCCCACCTGACCTTCAAACATACAATTTTTCTGTTAGTGTGCTTTTCCTGGGGGG